ACTTTGAAGTAATCCCGAACAACCAAATTTGTATATGTTACACACGTAGGGCTAATCTTGTTACACTGTTCAGAGGAGTCCCAACAACCACCCCGAAGTACCGTTTTCTGTGAGTTTTTGGCCTTTGTTTTCACCGCCGCAGGTTGCCAGGCGGTGAAAATGCCCGGATGTCCGCGCCCGAGGATAAGTCCCATATCGAACGAGACGCAGATGCGTAAGTTCATCAATTTAGCTCGCCCTCTATCGACAGTTTGCGTATTCACGTGAATGGCTAAACATAATAATAATAATTGCAATTTCTATTCTTCACATCTTAAATTAATTGTATTTTACCACATTAAAGCGCGCTGGTCGAATTTATGTAAATAAAATGTAAATAAACATTGTATTTTACATGCGTTCAATTGCATACGTCGCTATGAGTCTCATATCGAACACGACGCGGCACGACGACTACCGCCCTTTAAATATAGCATGTGTGTCGTAACCCTGGTCGTAACGGTGTTGTGCGCTTATTTCTAGTATCATGACCAATATTCGAAGATCGAGAATGTTGCAATGCGTGCAGTCCTTCAGTCTATAAGCTGTCGAACTGTGACATCATATGTTTACACACAGTCCCTCTATGATAGAGGACTGTGGTTTACATCATATGCCAATCAGCAGCGAAAAGCGCCCGCCGTTATTTTATTTGGTACGGACAGTCAGTGCTTGCCAATCAGTCACTATATACGCACACTAAACTGTCTACCAAAGGCGTTTTAATTACAATGACGTCATTCTGGTAAAATAGCGCTTAACACTTTAGTAACACATTTTTGCGAGTTCTTAATAAAAAAATCAAACCATTCCCACATATCCTGCAAAGCACACAATCTAAGCCATTGACCCCTGTAAGGTCACCCAAAGTCACCTTGTCTGGCGTGTGTGTTGGTGACCAATCAGAACGACAGAATGTGTCACGTTGATATCACGCGACCGCCGCCTGACCTTTTGACAATACAGATAAGACCGTAGAAATATGATCATGCCGTGCCCGTCCGTATTCGCGCGGTACCCCTAATCGCCGCGGCACAGTGCAAGTACGTCATAGCAACCTACATCACGTATTACCCTGCTTGTCCTGAGCGATTTTAGACCATTGGCCTCTGTAATTAATATTATTAAACATTATTGTCAAATAATTTTCTGAATATCCAAACAATAAATGGAAACATTGTAAAAATAACTGAGTACCCACTAAGAAATCCCCAACAAATCAGTGTGTTATCTTGTCAGGGTAGTTGAAAAACAATGCCACTAAAATTCAAATGCTGTATTGTTCGAGTATAATATGTAATATTTTAATTTACCATTCAAAACTCCTGGCGATGACAGAATGATAGAATGACAGAAAAAATAAATTTGTCAAGATTAAATCCTGGGAAAAAAAATCTTGCAGGGATCAATAATAGAAAACAAAATCCGCACGCCTAAATCTCAGAGAAAAAATATATTCCACATACTCTAAAAAGTGCAGCAAATAAACCACGAGGAAAATAGCACAAAACGAAGCGAAGGAAAAACAATTTGTGTACAGTTTTTCTGCCATCACTCCTACTAGAGTTTTGAATGGCCCATCTCTAAACAGGTAATTACTTGCACTTGTCATGTAATCAATGGAATGAACTAGTGCCTTGAAACTAGTTCTAAATTATATTGTAATGTATGGTGAACTTCAGTTTCACAATGTCACCTTGCTTGTCCTGTGCGATGGCAGCCAATCAAAAAGATAGGATTTGTCACGTTGGTGTCACGCGATTGGCGCATGACGAAGAGTTGAAGCCATAAGTCAGGTTTGGCAGATTAATACACAAACGTCCGGTGCATTTAATCACCACCACACATTAGCGTAAGTACATTGCAAATCTTATTACTCTGCAGGAACCTTGCACGGAACAAAGGATTAAGTTTCTATGCTCTTGGTAATTGATAGTACCTCAGACAACTAATAGTACCCTGACAGACCGTGGAGTGAAGTACAGTACAGTCGAACGAGTTCACCGACAGGACAATGCTTCTGCCACGAGCTTTCTTAACGCCATGTGTGATTATAGTCAGTGTGCTATGTATTGGCGTGCATACACAGGTAAGATTTCGTAGCACATGAGCCAACGTGATTATCGTCCGTGATGACAAATGCTTCTTGTTGATGTTCGTCTGATACCGAAGATGAATAAATTTCAAGCACATAAAACCCATTAATTAATATGCTGAATATTATTCAATATATTTCTCGATTCGACATATTGTTTATTATAAAATAATGGTGACTATTACACCGTAGCGCTCAGCTTAATAATATCCATCGATTTTTCGTGATAGTTATCTCATATAAGGATCTGGCTTGTTGGTACTTTTGATACAGATCACGCATACGTGTATATTAGATTTCAATAGTCTTCGTGGTTGCTATTAGTTACTGATTCAAGATACAGTTAAGGTCAAGCGACGAGCGCAAAATTAACAAAATACACATCGAGCACACAATACGTACAATGGATATGAAGTTTAAAGTTTCTTACTTAAGATGTAGTTATCGGTAGTCGCAGTCACGGTGAATATCAAACTCATTATTATTGAAAAAAACGTAACAAAGGCATTTTTGACTCTAATAGTGATGAGGAATTCAGACTATCCTAATGTAATAGTCTGATTTCTAGATAAAGGTTTTTACAAAGTTCACGATCTCCGGAGTGTCCTGAGTCAGAATACGATTGATGCCACGCTGTCACCATGAATAATTTATCCTAATTAGCATAAACTTGTCCCTCTATACTTATACTTTTGAATTATATACGTTAAATTACGGTTCTGAATGAAACAACAAACAGAGAATGCTTTATTCAAAAACATTATCAAACCATTTCGCCACGTTAATACCATATTTTGTATTCCCTATACTTTTCAGACAAACACACCGATGACCACCGACAGTGACGACCATATGAGTATGGACCACGGAATGAAGGTAGTGTATTAACCGAAGTCCAATTCAGCACGTTACGATTCATACCAGGAAAATACTGACTGCTTATTTATATTTATTAGTGTCAGGTGACGTCATCTACTAGTATCAAACCCGTTACGGATGACAATGAAGTATAGTTTTTTTATATGATGTCAAAACTACTGTTTTTATAAACTTCACGTGTTGTTTTTCGATAGATGTACTTCCACACTGACAGTATGGTTACGATTTTATTTTATGAATGGCACGTAATGACCACTGGGGGTATGTATGTGATATTTCACAACCAATCTGTAATGATTCGATGATCTGAGCCATCAAAATAGTTTTCACTTTCGTTTTCAATTCCATAATATGATTCGCTTACCACAAATACGAATGCTCGGTAACATTCCATAACTAATTGCCACCAAAATGTTAAGATGTTGCTATCAATATTAGTATTTGTACGATATATAATCAGCTATGTGTTATGAGATATATTCATACAAATACATCAGTTGCTTGCAATGTGCTATTACAAGTATAACTTGGTTTGACACAACACCGGCAATATTTTAGTTGACAGTCTAAAGCAAAATATACTGTTTCAATATTTGTAAGAACGTTGAATCAATTTTACACAGATATCATATGTCCTGTTCTTTGATTCATGTAGGATGGGTTGGTTCGTGTATTGTACTGGCGTTAGCGTCTGTGTTGTACGAAGGGTTGAAACAGTTTAGAGAATGGCTGGCCAAGAAACATATGCAAAGACTCTCACCAAAATCCAACAATTCGGTTGGGACGTCGATGACTGTCGCGGAGATAACCCATATTGAAAATCAACAGTAAGTAATTTGAATGTTGTGTGCTGAAACAAAGTCATATTAACAAAGTCAAGTTAAATTTTAGACAATCTGATTAAAATCTGATGTAGTGTACGGGCTTTAATTATTTTGGCTATAAATTTATTTAATTTTATTTTTTTATTACTTTTGTTATTAGTGCCTTTTTATTTTATTTTTTTACCTTGATTTTGTGATTTTTTTTAAATTCCGCCCTACATACATCTGATCCGACGCCTATGTAAGTCCCGTTCAAATTTCGTGTAAGTAACAGCCAATCACAGCCCCCCTTTTATACAGGCTGTCGGTTGCTCACTTTTCA